ATGATGTTTTTTGTAGACCCTTACACGCGTGATTTTTTATATTTTTAAAATACTTCCCGACCCCCCAGCCCTTCCATTTTCAACTAGGTTTCGTCAAGGGGCAAAGTTGCATATATGTGCCAAATATGAAGTCGATTGCTTCAAATTTCGGACGCTTATCGTGTTTCATAGCAAGGTCCAAAAAACAGTCGAAAATCGAGAAAAAAAAGATGGATACCGGCGTCGGATCAGGGGAATTTCTTACAAGCTTATGTGCCTCGTAGAGGGCGAAAAAGGAAAATTTCGATTTTGTAGCTCCAACGGTTCGATAGTTATTCAGGAAAAACCAAAAGACGAGAAAGGAGAACGGAGAACGGACATACAAAAAAAAATTTTTTTTTCGACGGTGATCATTACCGAGATGTAAAATTTTTATACGAGATTTCATTGATTTTCGAAAGTAACAAGGTTACTTTCCTCTTCCAAAAATGCAGTTATCATTTCCTTATTCTCCGTGTCCCTATTATTAACACATTTTTGATTTTTCGACAAGAATGCGGAGGCCATTTCGTAAACTAGTCAGCTTATGCCGCCGAAATACAATATACAATAAAATTCCGATAAACATGCGGCGCGAATACGAACCCCTAAAACACTTTGCAGACGCTTAGACGTCGTGGATAAAGCGACGCCCCACATGGGGAAGGCGGGGGCGGACCACCGACTGTGGGAAATGTTTTCACCCCCCACATATCGTGTTCATATTCAAGGAAAATCTCGGCGATATTTTAAATAGTGTATAAATACATCTGGAGGTCCCCGACGCCATCGCAGGCTTATTCGAAATATTTGCACGCACTCACTTTAAAGGCAATAAGGAAAATAGGACGCAATACGTGACCCTACGTCCCAGGACGACGCTGACATGTTGGATTTTGACGCGCTAAGCCACTATTTCCGGCTTTTAGCGTAACGGAAGGGAAATTTCCTCAAATATACTTTAATTTAATTTTTTCCTCGATTTCTTTTTACCGGAGATATTTTATTTGATTGATTTATCTGTTGTACCGGATGACCCATCACGGGCACGGTCTAAACTCAGCAACTTTGAGTAAACATGTAAATGAAACAGGGTATAGAGTCGACTATTGCGAGGCTTCCTTAGTAGAAGTAGAGGCAAACCCGTTCAAAAGGAAGTTCTTAGAGACGTGCTATATATATAATTGTGAAAACAGTATTAACATAAAAAAAGATATAGAGGGATTGAGTGTAATTTATACGTATTTACTAGGTCAAAAACTCACGAAAAAAAGTGAACTACCAGACTTTTACCATCACAGACCATAGTGGTTTTGCGCATGCCGTTAGTCCAGTGTCAACAATTTAAATGATTAAAAGTTGGTATTACTGTTGGCAACATTTTGTTACAAATGTCACTCCCACCATTGATCAAAGTCACCCTTGGCTGTATTTCCACGAATGTATTTACATTTTAAATTCATTAATATGTCACCAACAAGAGAATGTCGGCCGCGATGTGTACCGAGTGTTTTTCCATCTTTTAGAGTTTAAACTGCACATTCTGTAAGTAGTTATAATAAATATATTTAGTTTGATATAATAATTAAACGATACATACGTTTTCTTGGTTGGTGTTTTTGATGTAACGTCAATTGTTAAAAATAATTCTAAACAAAGATAATTAATAATTGAACATTAGGCTGAGCTGTTTGTAATAGAATGTTTTTCCATATTCCAGTCTTCCTGATGAAGCCTACAATCTTGGGCGAAAGCTTGAAGTAGTGAAGTATATATATATATATATATATATATATATATATATATATATATATATATATATATATATATATATATATATATATATATATAATGTTTATAATATTTTGAAAATAAACGTCAACTTGCAGAAGATTATTAAACCCTAAGCCGAATACAAATAGCCAAAACACGTACATATAATATTAAATAAGATTGATAAGTAGCTAATCATAACTGTGGAAAAAGCATTGATCTACTGAGCAACAGTTTCTATATTTTATGTTATAAAATAACCATCTTGTCTGAGGAAGCTAACGATTTAATCACATCTCTGGCACGATATCAAACCCGGAAAGTGTAATAATTAAAGCAAGCCTTGCGGAATTCCAATCCGCTGGAAATTGTTCTGGATATAAAGTGGTGAAATACTGGATAATGAAAATCGTAAATTATAAAAGCGCGGAAGATATTAAATCAAAAGAAACTGCGTATTTTACATTCGAATGTTTACGACTTCGGCGTCTGGAGCTGAAAGCTGAAAGACTTCAAAAGCAGTAATTAAAAATAAAATATCGAACAATTTGACTGAAAAAAGTAGGTTCTTTTCCCGTTTTCTTCAAAGAAGCATTTCAACGAAAATCTTTAAATGCACCTGTAAAAATTGTCAAAGCGGTTTTGACATTTTAAAAACAAATATTTTCTTACAATTTTGACATTTGTCAATCATGTCACATGTTGATAAACATCTTCAGTCAATTTAAAACTCATCACTTAATGGTTTATAAAACTTGTTGCATAATATACAATTTTTTTAATGGGTGGTGTGAGATTTTAGAGTCGAACTATTAGATTTGATTGATCGATCTAATTATATTGAGTTTTTGATTAATGTCTTAATCTGTAGAAACTAATTATACTGGTTGGAAAACAAACAAATGAGAAGAATACGAGGTTGCCGTGGAAGATGATATACATATAGTTATAGTTCATTGATTTGAGTTTTGTTTAACAATAATAAATAATAATATTTTCTGAATTTCTGAACCCATAATTGCACAATTAATAAATGTCTATTCCAGAACTATTCAGCTGAAACTTTATACCTTAAAGTTGCAGCCTCACTTTCGAAAACGATGGAGCTACAGCTCGGGAGGACAACATTGCCATTTATTTGGAACGTGTACGAAAATAAATCAAATTTTATCAAGCTATTTGACTTAAGAAGAAGACCGTTCTTAAACGTTAGTATCAAATGGGTTGAAAGATTAGACGAAGGCCGGCTATTTCGGTTCGACCAATATTTTCTAAGTGTTAACAAAATGTTTATGCGTCACGAGCAAATACGAATTCTTAAAAATAAATTATTTTAAGTGTTCCTACAAGGGGTTTGATGATACAGCCCGCTAAAATTGAACTCGTCTATAATTTAAAAATCTATTTTTATTAAATTTAAACATCCAGAGTATGTTTCAAGCATAAGTAAAATCATAATTTTTGATACAGAGAAAAGAATTAGAAAAAAATAATGGCAAAATAAATAAGAACTAAATAAAATGAATATGACACCTGATTTTTGAGATTTTGAACATTTCGTTTTATTTGTTTTTTAAAATTTAAAGAAACCAAAAAAAATAAAACGAAATGTCCAAAATCTCAAAAATCAGGTTAAATGCGGAACTTGTCCTAAAATTTATATTGGACAAACGGGTAGATCCTTCAAGAAACGCATTAACGAATCTAAAAGAGCGTTTAAAAACAATAGTCTTTCACTTCACTTTTGATATTTTACATACAGCCACAAAAAGTAGAAAATTAAATTTATTGGAAGCCATGGAGGTTAACAAAATGAGACGTTCAAATGTATTGCTTAACGGTGATTTAGAGTTAAATGCCTCTCCTTTATTGAACTTAAATTCTCACAACAACCTTAATTAAGGTTTTATGGTCATTTTTCGGTATATATAGTTGCAGGTAGTTTGTAAATATTACATTTGATAATTACACGGTGTGCTGTCCAAACAATTGTCAAGTCAAAGTATATAATTTCGTGAAAATCTGAACTTTTAGTTCTTATTTATTTTGATAAATAGATTTTCATCAAGTAAAAGCCACCTCTGTTCAAAAATAATGGCACTTTCGTGTGTGCAAGGATTTTGGATCTAAATTAAATCAAGTCCTGTTACCAGCGTTAATTTAATAATATGATATTCGGAAACCATAAACTATAGAAATTGTAGTCCAAGATACGATCTACACAACCGTTTAAACCAAACCGGAGTATTTTTTACGGAATATCAGCTACGGGTAATAATTTGCTCCATTCCAATCGAAAACAGTAAATATAAAAATTACAAGTGGCCAATGATATGAGGATATGATCTTCAAATTAAAACACCCATTTTCAGTATATTTTTGACAAAAAGCTATATTTAGGGCATTACCCCGAATCTCGCGCAGCTTCACGATCGAACCCACGGTCTTGTAGAAAATCTAAACTTTTCCGGTCCGGAAAAAAAAATCAAAATTTTCAAAAAAATACTTTGCGACTTTTGATGCCGCGCAGTATGTATTGGTCACATCCGGTGGCGACTCCCTGCCTTCCTGAAGAATTTCATTTCAATATTTGGACATTTCTACTTGATTTCGCAGCCACTTTCGAAGTGAAAACTAAAAATAGGCCAACAAAATGGCGTCCGATGTCGGATCGAATTCATATTTGTCGGACCACTGCGGACCGCCTAGTATTAGAAGGGAGGAAAATTTGAAGTCGGTAGGTGCAACTGCTCGTAAGTTCTCCTGCTTCAAAATACTCTCGCCAGTCCGTTATGGACGATATTTAGTGCATGGGGATTAATTTTTGTGTTTTTTTTTTGTTAAATTAGTCAGAAAGCTTTATAATATTGCAATATACAGCAAAAGGTACATAATAGTGCTTGAGTAAATCAATAATAAACATGTACTTCCCTAAGTCTACTCATGAGTATGTGTAACTTAATTTCGAAGTCATTAGTTACATTTAACCTGACCACAGACTAGATAGACCTAGACTAACACCGCACATCTCTATATCTGCGACCAAAACATAGTCAATGAAGTCTAAGTTTATTTAGTCTGTGCCCCAAGTATAGCAAGCAAGCTTTTGTACAGCTACCTGTTCCATCCTGGAAGTGCTGAAAGCGTTCGTGCAAACACCTAATGACGAATGCCGCGTACACACAAAGGAAAAAAATTGTTCGTCTTACCTAGTGAAGATGGCGGCGATGAACCAAGCTAGAAGGCATATCAACGACGCCCTAGCTTTGGTACAAATATAGCCCGCTTTCAAAGGTTTGCAAATGGCGTAGTACCTTTCGAAACTGATAGCGAGTATGGTCAGGACGGAGGCGTGAGCCACCGTGAGTTCCACGAACGGCACTGCTTTACCTGCGAAAGAAGAGATGCCAAAATTAATCGATTCTAAATCACTAAAGGCTGGAGATTCGAGTGAAAGGAAAAAAACACACACTTCGTTGGAATGTCTTACACAAATCACTTAATATATAAAAGATATTTTTTTAATTTCTGTAATACATTTAGATATTTTAATGAAATTTGGCACACATGTATTATGCATCATAAGGCATTATTTAGTATACCAATTTTTTTTTTAAATGCATTAGTGGCGGGGGTACGAAATTTCATCTGTCTATTTTGGCTGTTATCACGTCATAACCTCATCCGCTTATAAAATTCTTCGAAAATCTAGTTTCGCTTTACTTCGAGAAGGAATTCATCATACCCTTAAGGAAATAGACGAAATCAATAAGGCTCTTGTTTCAAACATGATTCATGACAAAGCTTTATTTATCTAAAATTTGAAAAACTAACGTCAACACTAGGAAAACCATCAAACTCTTCTAAACTACCAAAAACTGTAATAAATATTTCATCGCACCAACTTTCGGAAACTGAAAAATTAGTTCTTCCAAAAGGTTCCAACGGCACTTCTCATCTAAAACCAAAATTATGGAAATGATACTTTCGTTATTTGGCCTCATGGTCAAGAAACCCTAGTAGATTTTCTTAGACATTTAAACTCAATACACCCTAACATACGTTTTACTATTGGAAGCTAATAATAACCTTCCATTCTTAGATATTCTTGTCAATAGAAAATCAGACCTAACATTGGGTCATTGTGTTTACAGAAAACACACGCACCCGGACCGATACCTTAATGCATGGTCACATTACGATCCGGCCTAAAAATCATCGATTATCAACTCTCTTGTTAACAGAGCCGTAAAACTATCTCAGCCCGAGTCACTGAAAACAGAATTAAAACACCTTACCTCTGCTCTTCTACACACCACACTTCACCACAACCTTCCAATAGTAATGAGTTCAAAAGCATTCCTACACTTGCCACTGTGGTCATTCCTTATATTCAAAACATCACTGACCACATATCAAAAGTTCTAAAGAAGTATAACGTGAAAACCAGATTTACCACTTGTCCAAAAATCTCTCCACATCTTCGGTCCGTCAAATACCATTTGAGTGTCCAGGAGTTTACAGCATTCCATGCATATGCGACAAAGAATAGATTGGAGAGACCGAACGAAAAATATCAACTAGGCTCAAAGAACACGAAAGAGCTTTACGACTAAGACAAATAAACTCATCAGCTGTTGCCGAACACACTCATGAAACCGGACATGAAATTTTATTCTTGCATGTAATCAGTTCTGCTACCAACGAAAAATCCGAGAGTCAATAGAAATCTATAAACAACCTAACAATCCTAACCGCGACTCAGGTCTCTATCTGTCACCAATTAGGGAATCAGTCACCCGAGACGGTGTTTATGCCCCTCATTTAGCCCCGCCCCCCTCAAACAATATATAAGCAGGGACAGAGTAAGTAAGTTTTGTAAAAAGGATTACAGTAGCTTGGGGAAGTTTCTTTGAAAAATCTCTCTAAGGGTTTCTTATGTATTTGACATTGGGTCATTCTGTTTACAGAAAACCTGTCCACACAGACCGATACCCTAATACATTGTGACACAATTAACCGGCCCAAAAATCGTCGGTTATTAACTCTCTTGTTTACTTGTCCTAAAACTATTTTAACTGAAGTCACTCAACCCAGAATAAAACCCCTTACGTCTATTCTTCTCTCTGATAATTTCCATATTAGAGGTTTAAAGCGTTCCATCACAAAATACACTTCACCACAACCTTCCAAAGACAACGAGTCCGAAAGTAACCACACACTGGCCACTGTTGTTCTTCCTTACATCGATGAAGCAGGACGAAAAATAGCCTTAAGACTACGACAAATAAACTCATCACAAACCACGACTCAAGTTGTTACATTTCACCAATATGTCATCAGTCATCTGAGGCAATATTTATGTCCCTCCATTATCTCCGCCCCCTGAAACATTATAGAAGAGAATGCGAGTCACGTTCAATTAGGCTCTGAAGAAGTCAGCAGGATGACTGGCGAAAAGTCAGCGCGTTCGATTTATCACTATGTAAATATTATTGTGGAAGTTTCTTTGAAAAGTTGAGGTATCAGTAAAAATAACAGGCGTACTAAGTGCAAAAATTTGAGTGACACTTAGGTGACCATGTGGTTGTCACAGTGTGTGTGAAATTATAACCCACCAATACGTTGCCAAAACTGAAACACGGCCGGTGGTCGGCGAGGTCGATAAAGAAGACCGGTCGTAAGTAAACATTAAGCATTTTTAATTCCTTGATGATAATCTGGATCCGCGTGCCTGTCAAATTCAATTAGGAACATCACCTGTGCCTGCGGCACGGCAATTCTCATTCTCACGTGAATTATGAGAGAACCGGTAACGATAGCGTAACGCATAGCCGGGGTCTTATGCTAATGGAACTCCTGTGCAATAAATAATCTTAATATTCCCGGTGGTGGCTTTGCCTAATTTATCGGTCCATGTAGGCTTTAATTTTTTTAATGTAGCCGGCGTAAAGTCGACTCGAATGTCTTTTATTTGCGTGTGAAAAAGCGAATACATTCGAGATTATGTCGCACGTTTTTGCTCCGCGTATAAGATTAACCGTCCATATAGTCTGTTCTTCAGTGAGAGGGAGTAATAAAACGATCGGTAAACTGAAATTATATTTCATCTCTTAAAGACAAGTTGTCATGTATACAGAATGTTTGTGTTTTCGTGGACGAACAGTAACTTCCTGGCATGTTTTGAATTTTACATCAAAAGTGACATTTAAAGATCTAAATATATTTTTAATTGTGTTGTCAGTTTAAAAATTATTAAGCACAGGGTGGTAAAAAACTTACATTAAAAATTTTAATGGAAAAATCGTTGAAAGCAATTTTTTTAAATTGAAATTGATTTTTGTTGTTTTATCGTATTTAAAGTTCGAGATTTCTAAATATTTCGAACAAAAAAATTCTATATGCTTATTAATTGGGTAAAAAGATGAACTCCGCCTCTGCTAGAGATTGGGTGGATTGAGTAGCCTAGGATCTATCAGTGCTGGTCCCAAACCCGGAAAAAGGAGGAGGGTTACAGCGGTAGACCGGCTCCCTGCCATGTGAAAAAAAACCATTGCTTAATATTAATTAATTAATATTAGAAACACAAACATTTATTTGAAGTTAAAGTTTTTAAGAAGTTAAAGTGTGTTTATACTGATATTTTTATTTTATTTTTATTTTATTTTCTATTCGATTTATAAAATCCAACTTTTTGTAGCCGCTCAACAATGGTCTCAGTTCTCTGTTCACATTAAACATTTGTTTATTCGGCACATTCTTACGTCAACGAATATACATAGGCATTGTACGACCAGAAATATTTATTGCTTCGACGTTTCAAGTATTTTACAGTATCTTAACCGCCGACCTCGGCAGGACCGTGGTAAAACCCACCCCAAAAGAGTTATTCTGCATTAAGTAGTTTGCCTGAGATGGACCGTAACGAATATTTGTAGAAACTTGAAATTTTTATTTGAAATGTAAATGAACCGTTTTGAATTTGATTAAGCATTGATGCTGCGGGGTATCATCTAATAAGTAGAAGCGTTTATTTTAACGTCAGGTGATATATATCGCTCTTAAGAGTTAAAAGTGTGTTAAGTTATTTGAATGTGATCCTTTCAGTATGTACTTATTTGAGTACGTGATTCTCGAGCTTTCACCCTGCGAGGCTGTTTTCACTGGATAGTTCAAAATCTATCTCTAATTATCTTAGAGGTAACTTTGAAAATAATCATTTTTGTCTTGTGTGCCTATCGATTCGCAACATTATTCTTCTTGTATTTTGTGCCTTCTTCATAGTTCTTCAGTTTGTAAACAACAATAGTCTTTTTTAAGATTATAGGGTATAATTGCGGTAGATAAATATTTATTATAATCTTACAACTAAAAATTTTTTGGAAGTTTCTGTTTTTTAACACTTTAATATGTGCAGACCATGGAATGAAGCAGATGTTCCCCGGAAAACATGGAAAACAACGCAGCATTTGAAGACGAAGCGGAGCAGCCCCGCTGCTACCCCAACAAATAAAGAAACGGATCCATTCGTCTTCGGATGCTAAACAAATTGTTTTGTTGTGACATAGAACATAATAAATTGTTGCTCTCTACAAATTTTTTTATGTACATGTTTCAAGAACATGCTTACAAGAAACATACTTATATCCCGCTTGTTAGTGTAGGTAGATAAATTCCTAGGACGGTCCTGGAATGGTTACTGGTAAGGATCTGCTCGGCAGGGTGTTCTATTAGGGACTACGGTTTTGGAGTAATAAACAGGCAACGTTAATGACGGGGTCGGTTGTAAGAGCACTATACTTCTGGTGGAACTATACATAGAATATGCAAAAGTGGTTTAACAGCTTCTTCTTCTTAAGAGCTCCTTACACTTCTATCTTCACAGTATTACATTTTACATTAAACTCGCCCTTTTCATTTTGTATTTGATTTAGATTAGATATTTCTTGACTAAAACAGCATTTATAACTTTGAGATTTACTGTCCCGTTTTTGTAAGGTGCTGCGAGCAAACCCAAAATAATAATAAAGTAATTAAAATTGCTGCTAAAATAGTTATTAATAAGTATCTGCAAGGTGCATACGAAGTATTGCATTTTCCCATTTTAAATATCGTTTTAAATCTTCTTGGTGCTAGTTATAAGACGTTTTGGGATTTAAATAATTATAAACGCATTACTAAGGTCGTTACATTTACAAAACAAAAGTTTTATGATCAAGAATCTCTCAGAAATTTTCCTAGCCATTTGACAGAAAAACCTACGCACACAGACAGATATTTTAATGCATTTTCGTATAATCAACCGTCCAAAAAATCATCGGTTATCAACTCCCTTGTTTATAGAGCAGTAAAACCATCTCAGTTCTAGTCACTGAATCCACTGAAAATAC